CTGAGATTCTATCTTCACTTTCATTAAGGCGGTTTTTACAACTTTCAGTGGAGTTTTTTATTTCCTGTATATCTCTGTGCATCTGCATTATGTATTCTGTTTGTTTCTTATATTGCTCATCTAGGGATTCTATCTTTTTGTTTAGTTCCTCCAATTTTTTATCTGTGTTTTCTTTAGATATATTCAGAATCTCTTTCATTTCTTTTATCATTTCTTGTTTTATCTGGAAGATTATTTCGAGTTTGAATTTCTTTTTTTAATTTTTTTTTTTTGTCTTTTTCATTTTTATCGGTACCAGGGATTGAACTCACGACTGCCTGCTTGAAGGCAGGCGCTTATGCCGCTGAGCTAAATCCCCAGCCCCATCGAGTTTGAATTTCTTTAAAGCTTCCTGGAGTTGCTTGTCAATTGCAGTAGCTATTGTGTCCGATATTTGAGGTGGATGGCATGTATTTTCTTCTATATACATTGCTCCTAGGGTTTCTTGAGATGGGCTGGAGTTTTGAGGTTGTAATTTGGTCTTTCATTTTGTCATTTTCCTATATTTCTGTGTTTCAAGTGTTATTTGAAAGCTTCCTCAGGATCTGTTTGAAATCCCCTTCTATGTTTGCAGCTACTGAGACTCTGGCACCACGCTACCCCGAGCCACTGGGCCTGCAGAACCAGTGGCCCTCCTCTGCCTGCTCAGAACTCCGCAGTTCCAGCCAAGCTGGGCCTCAGGGACACTGTGCACCCACCTGCCCCTTAGAAGCTCCACAGCTCTCCAATCACAGCCGGGTTAGGGTACTCACCACAGGCCACGGTGCCTCAGGAACCTGCAATCCCTCCCTGCTTGCTGAGATATCCACAGTCCTCCAGACACACGGAGAGGCCGATGCAGGCGCCCCAGATCCGCCCAGCCCCTCCTCTGCACACGGATGGCTAGGTGCGGCAGCGAAACAGGCTGGGCTCCGGGGATAGTGTGGGCCCGCCCACCCGTCGGAAGCTCAGCAGTTCTCCAAGTGCAGCTGGGATGAGGAGGCGGATGTAGAGGCCTCAAACCCACTTCTCCACTTCACTGCACCCGGAAGCCTGGAGGGTCCGGAACAGTCTGAGATTTGGGCAGAGTGTGCTGAGCACTCACCACAGGCCACGGTGCCTCAGGAACCTGCAATCCCTCCCTGCTTGCTGAGATATCCACAGTCCTCCAGACACACAGAGAGGCCGATGCAGGTGCCCCAGATCCGCCCAGCCCCTCCTCTGCACCTATCTTCACTTTCATTGAGGCAATTTTGACAACTTTCAATGAATTTTTGATTTCCTATATATCTCTTTGAATCTGCTTCATGTGTTATTTGTTTCTTATACTGTTCTTTCAGGGAGTCTTTTTGTTTTGTTCCTCTAAATTTTTAATTATGTCTTCTTTAGATGTGTTCAGCATTTCTTTCATTACTTCATTACTTTCATTACTTCATCATTTCTTCCTTTACTGGGAGATTATTTCTAGTTTGAATTCCTTTAAAGCTTCCCAGAGTTGCTTCTTTGTTTTAGTTGCTATTATTTCAGGTATTTCAGGTGTATAGCATATATTTTCTTCTATGTCCATGGCTCCTAGACTTTCTTGGGGTAGGCTGAAGGTTTGAGATTGCATTTAGGTCATTTAGTCACTTTTCTATATTTCCATATTTCAAGTGTCGTTCCAAGGCTTCCCCTTGGCATGTTGGGAATCATCTTCTATTCCCTTGGCTCCTGGGACTGAATGAGAGTTTCTGAGCATGGTCCAGTCAGGCCCACAGGACCTCCCGTGCCACCTCCAGTGTTCCAAGAAGCTGGGCAGGCACCTAACCACTGTGGATGATGGTCCAAAGCTCTCCCTGGGCAAGGGCCAATGCACTGGAACTCATTTCACATGCTCTCAACTCCCCTGGTTGAAGGTCGCTGGGTGTAATCTAGTCAGGCCACAAAATTTCCCATGCCTAATCTAGAGTGGCTGGAAGCTGAGCGGGTCCTTGACCACTGGGAGCAATGATCTCCTTTTCTCAAGTACTATAGTTTTCATTGTAGAAGTATTTTATTTCCTTAGGTTAATTCCTAAATATTTCATTTTTGAAGCTATTATGAATGGTATTATTTCCCTAATTTTCATCTCATTGAGCTTGTTATTGGTGTTCAGAAACAAAATTGATTTTTTAGTGCTGAGTATTTTTCCCCACACTACTGAACATGGCTCTAGAGTTCATTTGATGGAGTTTTGGGGGACTTCTATGTAGATCGTGTCATCTGCAGATAATGATCATTTCATTTCTTCCCTATCCATATTCCTTTTGTTTTTCTAATTGTTCTAGCTAGTTTCTAATTGTTCTAACTCTGTTAAACAAAAGCAGTGATAGCAGATATGTTTGTCATGTTCCAGATTTTAGAGGGAAATCTTTCATCTTTTCTACATTAATTTTAATGTTGGACATTCTGTGTCATAGATGGTTTTTATCTGATTAAAAGAAAGACCTAGTCCATTTTCTTGCGGGTTTTTTTATTCTGAATAGATGCTGAATTTTGTCAATGCTTTTTTTTTTTTTTTTGGTACTTGGGCTTGAACTCATGACCGCATGCTTTTAAGGCAGGCACTTATGCTGCTGAGCTAAATCCCTGGCTATCAACACTTTTTTTGTTTCTATTGAAATAATCATATGATTTTTGTCTTTACTTCTATGTGGTGAATTATATTTATTGATTCATATATGTTAAACTGTCCCTGCATCCCTGGAATGAATCCTACCTAGTTGTGATTCATGAGCCTTAGGCTGATTTGCTGCTGCATTCTGTTTCACAATATCTTATTGAAGATTTTGCATCTAAGTTCACTAAAAAGATTGATATGTAGTTCTCTATTTTGGCTAGACCCTTGTCTAGTTTTGGAATCAGAGAGATGCTTGCTTCCAGGAATGACTTTGGGAGTACTGTGTTCCTTTGATTTCATTAAAGAGTTTGAGGATTATTGGTGTTAGATCTCTGAACTTCTTGTAGAATTCAGCCATGAGTCTGTCAGGACCTGGGATTTTTTAAATTATTTTTTTGTTTGTCTGTTTGACAGATTCTCCTGATATAGCCCAGGCTGGCCTTTTACTCACAGCATTCTTCCTAACTCAACCTCCTGAATGCTGAGATTAGAGGTGTGTTTTACCACACTGGGCCTTGGATTTGGAATTTTCCTTTTTTTTTTTTTTTTTTGTCTTTTTCGTTTTTATCGGTACCAGTGATCAAACTCACGAGTGCCTGCTTGCAAGGCAGGCGCTTATGCCGCTGAGCTAAATCCCTAGCCCTGGATTTGGAATTTTCTTACTTGGTATTTGTTTGTTGGTTTGTTTTGTATTTTTTTCATTTCCACTGAGTAGTATTAGCTATTGCTATAGTTTGTGTCTCGATGTTCCCCCAAATCCTCATGTAGTCATGGGACCAGGCTTCTAGAATTTATGATTAACTCATAGTCTAATGCTGGGATTATGAGTGTGAATGCTATACCCACTCTAGACTGGGTGTGGCCTACATACAATATAAGGGACAGAAAGAGGCTTCCCTTGGTACACTTCCCCTTTCTTTTGCTGCTTTTGCTGTTTTCTACCATGAATACTTGCCCCTGTGGCAACACTCTGCCTTGGACCCAGTTGATTATGGACTGTCACCTCCATAAACTGTGAGCTAAATAAATCATTCCTTCTTTAATTTTGGGTGTCTGCTGTTTTGTTTCAGCAATGAGAGAAAAAACCAAGACACTGATGTAAACTTTTTATATGCTTGGTTCTGCTTTGGTAGTTCATATGTATTTAGAAATTTATCCCTTTCTTCTAAGTTTCAATTTTATCTAGATTAATCTTTTGTGGTTTTGTCTTTTAAAATAACTTTTTCTTTTATCTTTTTGAGACAAGGTCTCTCTGTGCAATTTGGGCTGGTCTTGAGGTCACTTTGTAGCCCAAACCATTAGGTCAAAGTGATAAAAAGTAAATTGTAAATTGAAAATATTGCAGATAGAATAATTTAGTTTCACATTATCAGCAAAACCTTATACTATACAGGGATATATAGGACAACAAAATTTATTAAATATATCTAGCTAATATATACAGAATATACAGATAGATATATTTCACATTAATTAAGGATGATTAAACAAAGATAAATAGAAAGATAGCTCACTATGGATGGGGAAACTATATACATTGCTATAATAAATTCAAGAATTGATTATAACATGATTATCAAATGTAAAATTATAAAAGTCATAATACAAATATAATTAATATAATAAATTCAGCAAATATAGTCTCATCAATATTGAAGAAGACAAAAAAAATTTACAACCAACTATAAAAATATACTATTATCAGCATATTAAAAGTATAGTATTTCATGGGGCTGGGGATTTAGCTCAGTGGCATAAGCACCTGCCTTGCAAGCAGGCAGTTGTGAGTTCGATCCCTGGTACTGATAAAAATGAAAAAAAGACCAAAAAAAAAGTATAGTATTTCTTGAATAAGAAAAGAAGACTGGAATGCATAAATGAATTCTGAAACAGTAATCCACAGAAAAAAGTTAGTAAATTAAAAATATTAATAAAATTAGAAGTCAAGGGCAAGACCATAGGAAAGTGAAGAATACAATCATAATTAGTATAAATAATAAAATTTATTAAAGATTTATTGAGAAGATCCAAAGAATTCACTATAAGAATAAAGTTAAGGGGCTGGGGGTTTAGCTCAGCGGCATAAGCACCTGCCTTGCAAGCAGGCGGTCGTGAGTTCGATCCCCGGTACCGATAAAAATGAAAAAGACAAAAAAAAAAAAAAAAAAAAAAAAAAAAGAATAAAGTTAAAATGATGATAAATTACAGTGACTGCACATGGCAGTAACTGTACCATTATTAGGGAAATAAATGAGTTATTTGTTTATTAAAGTAAATATCATATTTTAATCTATTATCAGTAAAAGGGTAATGATTTACCTGACATTATTTCTATATATTTTAGGAAACTGTATGTGTGAACTTAAGAAGGCTACTTACTTCCAGAATGTATTTTAATTTTGATCCCTTGCAAAGAACATCTATCTTTTTTAAATAAAATAATGTAACACTTGGGGGCAAAGATACAGCCCAGTAATCCTGCACTGGATGCCAAGATAGAGAAGACCTCCATGGCCACCATGACCCTCCCCTTCGTGCTGTGGTATACAGGGAGGAAGGTGACCCAGACGCTGCAGAACACCAGCATGTTGAATGTGATGAACTTGGCTTCATTGAATGTGTCAGGCAGGTTTCTGGCCAGGAAAGCCACAGTGAAGCTCACTAAGGCCAGCAAGCCCAGGTATCCCAGCATGCAGTAGAAGGCAGTGAGCGAGCCCTTATTGCATACAATAATGATGAAGCCATGTTCGAAGTGTGCATCTCTGTCAATAAAGGGTGGGCTTGTCCCCATCCATATTCCACAGAGAGTGAATTGGATCAGGGAGCAGATGGGGATGATGCAGTTAGGTGTCCCTGACACCAGGAACTGCCTAATCCTTCTGTCTGGAGTAGTGACCTTAAAGGCCAGAACCACAGTAATAGTTTTGGCCAAGATGGTGGAAACAGCCACAGTAAACACAATTCCAAATGTGACCTGCTGGAGGATGCAAGTGGCTGTATTAGGGCGGCCAATGAAGAGCAAAGCACAGAGAAAACAGAAGGACAGAGAGAGAAGCAAGATATAGCTGAGACTTCGGTTATTGGCCTTGACAATGGGAGAACTGCAGTGCTTCACAAAGAGCCCAAGAATAGCAACTGTGAGAATAGTGAGGCTCAGGGCTGTGCCTGCCAGAGCCCTCCCTAAGGAGTCTTCATAAGCCAGGAAAGTCACAGATTTTTGGACGCAGTGCTTGTGATGGATATCAGCATACTGGTGATCTGGGCACTTCACACATTCTTCCATATCTAGTATGAAATGCAAATTGTCATCTTTCATGTTCAGCATTTCTCTTATTCACCACACACACACACACACACACACACACTCCCACATGCATGCACACACACACACACGTTGTAGGGGAGGAGAGAGAGAGAGAGAGAGATTCATTGGATTGGTTAAGGCAAATTTTTCTTTGATTTCCTATACACCAAGTAAAAGAGTGTTACAGAAACAATAATTCCCAATTAGCACACTCAAACTGTATTATGACACAAGGAAAAATGCTACCATTTCTTATTATTGATCTGATGTACTCATAAGACCATTTTTTATTTTCATGAAGCACTTGAAGACCCCTCACAAACAAAAAATTCAACCTCTTCATGTGCGGAATTCATTCAATATCCAAGAACTTATAGAAAAACCACCATAATTTCACTAAGTTCCAGGAAAGTAAATATTTCACAAGAAGTTTCAGTGTTTGCCAGGGATAGCTCAGTGGCACAGGTTGCCTGCCTGGCAAGCATAAAGTCCTAAGTTCGACTCCAGGTACCCCCCTCCAAAACAAAGAAGTTGCAGTGTTTATCAGAAAACATTGACATTTTGATTACAGTTTGGTTGAATCAACAGATCAATTTAAAAACTACTAATATTCTCCCATTATTGAGTCTAAACATGAACATGCCCACCCAACACTTATTTCAGTTGTATTGTTACAAATGCTTTTATATAATTTATTGGAAGATTGATAAGAAACCTTTATAATAATTTGTTACCAATGTTTAATACCTTTATACTGTAGTGTCATCTATTAAATTTCTTTAATGAATAGTTCACAAGTGCAGTGCAGAAATAAGTTTACACACTAACTTTGTATTCAGTGACCACTGAGTTTAGTCAGTATAACAATAATTTACCTGAATTTTATACTTACACACTGGTATTGTTGGAAAATAATATCAGTTGTGTTTCTTCCTTATGAATATATTTTTGCTTTTTCTTTCCCTGACAATATTGTACTGGCTGGGACCTCAAGCGTCATGTCTGGTAGAAGTTGTCACAAAAAATTCTTTTTTCATTCTTACTTCCAACATTGAGTAACAAAATATAATATCTATTTTAGGAATCTTGAGATATAGTTTTTGGTATTAATACAGTTTCATTTTATTTCACATTTATTAAAAATTATTTTTATTTCTAAACCAGTTGAGCTAATTTATGTTTGTAGTTTTCAAAAAACTAGCACACTGAGTTATGCTTTGAAAGAAAATTTGGTCATGATATACATCCCCTAAAATCTGTAGCTCAGTTTGAAATAAAATATGAGAATTTAGTTCAAGACAGAAAGTGGCAGCTGTGTTTATTTTTCATAATGTTAAGTAGGCTATGGATAAAAATCTGCCTCTTCTCAACAACTCAGCAGAGTTTCCCCACTTCTCCTTTCCTCTGAAGGATTTCAAGGTCAGTGTTATTATGCTTTTCAATGCATATAAATGGCATAGTGTGACTCTTAAAGTAAAAGTTGTGGGAAAATATAAAACTATTGTATGAATAAAAGTGTTATAGAGACTTATTTTTATGCTCTTTTTCTGAGAGTTTGTGAATTTCATTTAAATTTTCAAATGGTTTCGCATGAAATTGTTTATATATTATTTTCATTTGAAAAGTTGCTATGCATCTGTAAATATTACCCACTTTTACATTGCACTGTTGCATTAAACTTACTAATGGTTACCAATAACTTTTCTTTTTTGGTCCTGGGGATCAGACTCCTGACCTTGTGCTTACCAGGCAGGTGCTTACATTGCCAAGCTAAATCCCCAGCTACTAATAACTTTTTAAAATAATTGTCTACTTTTCTTGTTTTATTTGCTTCTTTTCTTAAGATTTCTTATACATTACTTTTTATTTTTCAGTTTTCTTTATGTTCAGTTTGTTCATTATTTTTCCAGTTTCAAAAAGTACATTGAATACTGAACTTCACCATTACATTGTTTAAATATACATAATATGTAAGTACAAGTAAAATATATTTTTGAATAGTTTTTAGTTCAACTCAGTAATTTGGTAAATATTTTAATTATATCAAAACTTCTGTTTTATAAACTACAGGTTGCTATATATTTAAACCATAAACGTATAGTAATTGAAGCTGCTGGGTGCATTGTATTCTCTATGTGCACATGGAACATGTTCATGGAAGCACCGGATTTTTAATCCATATACAGTGTACTTTCCTAAATTATCTACATGATACAAAGTGCAGTCTCAATAAATTTCCAAACAAATTTTAAATTATACTAAGTATGTTTTAAAATTAAAACACTTTTCAGTCAAAAAGCAAAAATTGAATTAGACAATGTTTAATACATAGATGATTCATGATGAATATTTATTAAAAATTCAATTATTTGCAAAATGGTAATTACAGTCTATGCAAGTCTTCCATTCTGGCTTTCTGTACCAATTTTATACAATGTCACAGCTCATCTTTATATGTTTTGTGTTTTAATGACATCAAACCTCACTTTAGCTCTTTTAAATATACAAAGGAGAATGTCTCATTTTGGTCACTTCTGCTAATCCTAAGAAGAATTTATTTCACTGCTCATCTTTGGGTATAATGCTACTGCCTCTGTAAAGAAGTCTGTGATATTCTTCCAAAAATCTAGATTCTATCCCTTAGTCAATCCCATTGTTTGTGCATATCATTAATTCACTGCTGTGGCATGAAATATCATTTATAGCATTGTCTGCCTTGCTCAGTTATCAGTTCCAAGACAGCAGGGATAAGATTTAAGTAATTGAATGCTGTACCTTAAGCATGTTATACCCCAAAATATGGATATGACAAAACCTGTTTTGTGCCTGGCACTTGGAAAATAAGGATGTGCCAGACCCTGTCCTCAATGTGATCTAAATGTGGCTGCAAAGATAAAGACATTGTACTTAATACTGCTGTGTGCTAAACATCATGCTAGAGATAGAATTTAGAAACTGGGAGGTAGAAAAAGATATATTTTTTAAAGAAAATAATGCTTTCAGTACATTAGAAAAATGAATTGAGGAAGCCAGGTGTGGACACACATGCCTGTGATCCCAGCTGCTCAAGGCACTGAGGTAGGATGATTTCAAGTTCCAGGCAACTTAGTGAGAACCTGTCTTACAGACAGAGACAGTGAGACAGAAAAAGACAGACAGAAAAGAAAGAAAGAAAGAAAGAAAGAAAGAAAGAAAGAACTTTTTAAAGAATGTAGTTATACAAAAATGTAATTGTCAATTGAAAGCAGAACATATTTTATTGTTGTTCCTTTCTTTAAGATACTTACTCATCTCTTAGATAAATGGTAGAATATAAAAGAAAGACAATTTGTCCTTAAGACATTCACTCACCTGTGTCATTGGCAATCTCATTTTCCGGGCAAGGGGTGCAATCAAAACAACAGGCCATCTTTCCCTCCTGAGAGGACTTTCGGAATCCCGGATTGCAACTCTCACTGCATACAGAGCGGGGTGTCTGAGGAAAATCAGATGTGATCAGGTAACTTCTGGGACTTTCACATAATCTATCATAATCACAGTGATAGAAATTAACTTCTCTACATGCATATATCCAGTTATATAAAAACTCATGTTTATTGAGTAATAAAATATATGAACGCTTAAATAAATGTGACTTTACATTCAGCTGAAAGTGGATCAGTAAAGATTCTTTAATTTGAAAGAGTGTTGTGAAATTGCACCATTTTCTGAGTGAAGTTGAGGGCACAGACCCTACAATACTGTACTGTTTGCAGTTAATGAGGTGCATTATGATTAGGTCTAACATACCTCTGTAATTCCTGTGGCCCACTCTATCATGTCCTCAGATAAAGACAATTGTTGATTATGTAAAACATGTGAGGAAAATGATCCTACTTTGACCTTAAGTCTAAGGCCTTCTGGAAAATTCCAAAAGTTGAAAATGTCATACTCCGCATCCAGCTTCCTTTTATTGTCTAAATTCACTTGATCTCCAGCAGGATTGTTAACTTGAACATTCTTCAAATAGTGGTGAAGCTAAAACAGAGAAACTGTACCATAAAGAACTGGGCCACTGTATTAATACATAAAACCCAAATGAGGGGCCCCTTCAATTGTCTTTAATTCCTGTATCATAATGCAAATTTCAAAACAGCATCCAGTGAATCAAAAAAAAAATAGAACAAAAGAACATCTATCTGTGACTAAAATAGAGTGTCATTTAAGAGAAACTACTCAAAACAAGCTCATTTAAATGCAAGTTTTATGTGAACATTAAGTAAAATTCAACTGTGGAGTCAAAGTTCCACACACCTATTTTTTTCCTGATTGTTCCCGGAGGAGTACCAAAAGGGGTCACAGAATTCAGTGAGAAAATTCATATAATGTATCCGTCTGCTGTAGTGTTTAGCACCATTGAAATACTAAAAGAACTACATCTTTTCCTGGTCTTCAATAACTGAAAGTTCAGATTTTCTTATGAAAATATTAGGTGATCAGGGTGTTAAGGCCCTTTAGAAAAGAAAGCATTGATACTGAATGAGAATTAATTGTCTCCTTAACAGTGGGTCTTGAGTTCTACCCAGGTTAGATTGACCCCCTTGACAATGAAATCCATACATAATTTCTTGATTTTTTAGAGGTAATATCTTAAGTATTTACTTTGAGCACCTATGGAACCCCTTAAGACATGCTGCATAGCAACCAACAGAATGAAACATTACCTGCCAGGGGGAAATCTGTATTCCTTCCCTATGGCCCATTGATTGCCTTTGTACTTGCTGAAGAAGCATCTCATGGAGTGCGTGGGCCATGGCATACACAGCATTGTATATATTGTAACTGTCATCATTCATGGTCATATCAAAACGATTCCCAGGCAACCATGCCAGAGATGCATTAGGTGTACAGTTCTTCAACTTACAGTCAGAATCAGCCACTGAGCAATGAAAATGATCATACCAAAATAGAGTGAGGAAATTGTCTTCTGGATACATGGAAGGGTTCACAGCCTGAATAAACTTTTGGAAACCACGAATCTCCTTGTGATGCTTTGCAAAAATGAGAGTCCCATGGAATGACTCAAGTATAAAGTTTCTTCCAGGCATATCTGCATGCCACTGTGAGTTTGTGATCCAGACAGTCCATGTCATTCGATACTGTCCAATATTATAGTTCACATCATTCAAGCTCTTGGTGTCATAGTAAATGATACCCACGTTTACTGGTGATGTCTCCCTGGTCAGGAAATCATGTTGCTGTGCATGAGCAAGAACCGACAAGACTGCATTCGAGATCATTTTCACAAATGCCACACGGACTTTGTTTCTGTTCATCTCAGTTTTCACATCTGATAGAAACTGATGACCTTTCTGACCTTCTGTGATGACCAGCCCCACCCATGTCCAGCCAAAATAAAGCATCAAAGAGACCATGCCAAGAGCCAGAGATGTGTCCTTTGGGGCCGTCTGATACAGAGAAGAAAACTCTGCATTTTCACTTAGCATAGGATCAAAACAGCCAAAGGTAAGCTAAGAGAAAAAAATTTTGAGGCAGTATAAAAAAGAGATTTAGAAAAAAGCACAATCTTTGACTCAAAGATATTAAGCAAGAGCTAGAATTATTGGCAGATCCTCGCTGATGCAAGCTTTCTGTTTTGTTTTGTTTTGTTTTGGTACCAGGGATTGAACTCATAACTTCACACTTGCCAGGAAGGCACTTTTGCCACTGAGCTAAATCCCCAGCATTGCAACCTTCCTAATAATTTCATTCACTGAGTTTTAGAAAATTTCTGATCAGACTGAGACTTCCTGAAACTTTTTTCTGTTCTGCTCTTTTACTCTTTGCTGTACATAAAGAAAGTATGGGTCACCCACTGAGTCTCAGTATTTTCCCATGCACTTTCAAAAGTGCATGACCAGACTCATTCTTTCACCCCTTGAGACACCTGAAAATGCCACCCAAGAAAATGCGGTTTCATCTCTTCCCATCCTACCCACCCTCACCTGTGGAAATTTGTAGAGTTCCAGCAGGGTCCCAATTTGAGCAGCTGTTGCCCATGATGTTCCTGTTAGTACAGCTATGGAATTGCTTTGTCTCCTACAGGTGTAATTAGGGATCTCATCCTGTCCTGTGAGCAAAATGAGGGAGCTCTCCAACACCCTCCAGTGGCTGTGCATGAAATTGTGGAATTCGTATCCCAGAGATATGTTGGGTAAAAGACAAGGATTTTTATTGATCTCTTCAATGGCAAAAATAAAAGCTAGAACATTCTGATAGTTGTTGGGCATAAGCCTGCATAGAGGTGAAAAAACACAAACCATGATGGTCTTCACACCAGTATAATACCTTGTATGAACTACATGCCTTCATCATTTCCCCAAATTTGTATGTCAAATTCCGTATCTGCATGTGATTGCATTAAAAGCTTGCTTTTGGAGGTAATAATGTGAGATTTCTTATGAATGTTAACAACATCCTCATGAGTGACCAAAAAGAGACTACTTGGTCTTTCTTCCAGTAAAAGACGCATTGACAAGCCTGCCACTCATAAGCTGGGAAGCATACATAATAGTAATTGTCTTAGCACCTACAACTTTTAAAAGTATAAACTAAGCTTATATGACACCTTTTATGTGGTACATTTGTATACCACATTTATATACAGCAAACCAAGTTGGGACAATACCCTATGGACAAATAGGTGAGAAATTTAAGATGCTTTTGGAAGTGCTGGGTCTTATAAAGACATAAAATTAATAGTCCTTGCAAATAATATCATATAGGCACTTAAACTCTTTCATCAACCTCATCAAGCATGGAAAACTATTTTTATTTACGAAGAAAAGCATAAACAATGGAGATGACTATATTCAAGGTGGCTTTTGTAAATGATTATTTGTGTCAATAAAAGAACTGCACATACTAACACATCCTCAAATGTCTCATATTATACAACAATATTCACATATATTTGGAATTACCAATAAGGAGTAGTACTAATTATGATTGAAGGGTAGGGAGAAGAAGAATAACATGACATCTGTGCAATGACTATGGGATGGTATTTAAGATACTTCAGTCTCTACCCCGTCAAAGTTATTCATATAGTATCATCAAAAACTGGGAAAATGATACCAACTCAGAGCCTGTGAGGAAGAGGGATTGCAAAAGGCAAGGATATTTTGGATATTTTGTTGAAGCATTGGCAGGACTAAAGGCTCTTAGAAATTTAAGAGACATGACATTGCAAAGTTTAAGTGAATTATTAATTCTTACAATAAAAATATTAAAATGTTAGTACAAATTTAATATCTGAGCAGTGCTTATTATTTCAAATGGCTCCTCATCTCCACACCAGGGTTCCTTGTCATTTTTCATATCCTTTAGGCGCTTGTCTGCACAGCAGGAAGTTAGTGTTGGGAAAACAAGCACCTCGTATTTACAGCTGCTTCCTACAGCACATGTTACCACCTGAGCTCTACATCGTGTCAGACCAGCAACACAATTGGACTTACTTTCCTTTTTTTGTCTTTTTCTTTTTTATCAGTACCAGGGAATCAAACTATTGACCACACAGTTGCAAGGCAGATGCTTAGACTTAACTACATGCGAAGGATCTAAGATGTGCACTCGTTATGAGAATCTAATGCAATACTAATAGAAGTGTAAAATATTATCGTAATAAAAATAAAACACATAAAAAGATCATACACTTAATCACCCAGAAATCAACCTGCTGCACTCTGTGAAACAGTAGTCTTCTGTTAAAGCAGTTCTTGCTCCTGGATCTGCTATTTTACACCTTTCCTAGCACACAAACAGATCAGCAATCAATGACAAATTCTTGCATTTCTTTTCCTTGGCATTTGATTATATAAAAAATAACACAGAGAATCTCCTTGTATTATTTTCTTTCATCTCTGTGTTCAGAGTTAGTTAACAGCCCAGTTTCTGTTCATTTCTTGTTAATGCTCCTTGCATTAGTGTGAAGAATATGCACTCTTACCACTTTCTTTTCCACTGCATTGCTGTAGTTTCAATTCAGAGCCTTCCTGCTAAATGATGTACAAAAGAGCTATATCCCCAACCCCAAATATGTATTCAATTGTGGGCTTTAACTATTTCCACGTATCCAATAAATTAGGCTTGGGGTGACTGCATAGTGGATTGCCAACTTGATTCACTTTGGCATCTGCCTAAAGAATTAGTGAAGAATGCTTCCGAGTATATCTGAGGGAGTCACAGAGCCATTTCCTTGGGGGAAACCTCTTAGAAGTGATTTTAAGGTCTTTGCTAGGGGTGAAGGTGGGGGATAAAGGGAAAATGTCAGCAGAGTGAATATGCACATATAGAGTTTATGTATGTATACATTGTTATTTTGGACCTGGGTGATATTCTAGTGCTTCTTACTCCTCTCAAATGAGCATCCTCTCTGCTTCTGGAGGAATTAGTGGTCATTGAATCTGAGTTCTGATGACCAGGTATAAAACACTCATTTGGAAAGTAGCTTGAAGATCATACTCTGCACATCTAGCCATTGTGATTTCATCCAATTCACTGATAGAAAGGTCCCAGAAGATCCTTCAAAATAACACAAACTCCAAAGCCCAGAAGACAGGGCTTCTCACACTCTCAGAACAGAACTAGCTTCCTTTCAGTATGTATTACTTTATTCTGTCTAATAAATCTACCTCTGAATCGCCCTGATCTGTGACAATTAGTAAAGAACTTTGCATAGGTTTTGAGTTGAGATCCCCGTCTTTTTTTTCTGGGGCCTAGGATCCTATCCAGTGATACTACAGTACCATCCAGTGCCCTCCATCCTGTTCTTTGAGTATCTGTTCCATGAGCCTATGTAGCATCGAGAGCCCAGTCCAATGTCCTTCTCTCTGCAATACCACATTGAAGTGGTTCTTACAATAAGTTATGTCCTGATTAGATAAATAACTTATATCCCATTCAACAAGTAATATTTTTGCTTCTTTTTTTTTTGTCTTTTTTTTTTTTTTATCGGTACCGGGGATCAAACTCACGACTGCCTGCTTGCAAGTCAGGTGCTTATGCCGCTGAGCTAAATCCCCAGTCCCTATTTTTGCTTCTTTTAACCATTTCAGAAGACAATGACCAGGCTTACTTGACTGAGTAATAAAAAATGCCTGAGTACAGCACTTCATAAGAAACAACAGTCATCTGCAGCTATAAAATAAACATTTTATATTAAACCCATCAACAATGACTTGCTAACATTTGGAAAACTATGAAAGGAAGAAGTGTGTTATATATGGTGGACCATTTATGTAATCCCAGCTACAGAGGAAGCTAAAGCAGGAAAACACTGGAACCCCAGAGTTTGCTCAGTACCTATAAAAACATGAGAAACACATCCAATATTAATAATGTAAGCAAATGTCTGGACATGATAAGGAACATGAGATCAGTACAGATTTCTACTGCATGGAAGAGGCCCCAGTTCCTGTTATTCCCATCCCTAAATAGGACCAGATACCACTTGCATGGCTTGGGGTTCTAATGTTTAATAAAAGCCATAAGCAAATATTGATTTTAGTTGCAGCCCATTTTCTCATGGGAATACAAGTCATTTGTAAGAATTCTCTGAGTGTTATTAATTACACTTTTGCCTGCTAACCTGATGTTATGATAGCTGAAACAAAATATGCATATTTCTGAATGAAAAACAACCAAAATGGATAGTAAAAATCTCAGAGACTATGGATCATTGTTCCTGGTCTGATTTACACCTGAGTTGACCCAGGCCTGAGCACCCTTGTCAGAAAACCAGATTTATACACTACTTCAAAATGTAAATGAATATCTACAGAAAGTAGTGTGCTGAAGCAGGTGAGATATAAAAAAGAATGACCCACCTATGGAGATGTTAAATATAAAATAGAAACATCAGCAAACCCTTTAAAAGATACTTTGTGAAACTTTGTGAATGATGTACTTTGCAACAGTGTCTTAGCACTGAACTCCAGTCAATAGTTTGACTTGTCATTCTAAGGAATACCACTTAATGTCATGCCCTGACAGCTAAGGGAGAAAAATGAGGTGGAGAGTGGTTCTGCCTCAGCTTCCAATACTGAAAGGCAGAAGCTGAAAGAGTCTTTCATAAAATACTATTATCTTCCCACTTCAAAAGGTGAAAAAGAATAGGAAGAAACCAAAGAGAAAGAGCTCTGTCAATGAGTGGAAAGTGTATAATAGTTACTAGAGAAAACTGATCTATTCCTACAAAGACTCTCGAGGCATTATCCCTCCGGTTAATCAAGCATAAGAATAAACTTTAAACAGAGCACTTACTGTAAAATGATGGATTCCTTGTTAGGCTTTATGTCACTGCTTCCAGTTAAATAGAAATAAGTTAAAAGTGAGAAAAACCCTGCAATCATCACGTCCCCTTTCTTGTGCACAATGTTGCTCATTCTGAGAAGGCAGTCTTCATCAGCCAAATTACACAGTAAGAGGGGATGATGCAGTAGGAGGAAGAGAACCACAAACAAGAACATTTCAGAAATGTCTGTGAAGCCTATGTCTGAGTGAAGGTGGAATTGAGAATGAGAGTGTTAGTATATATATATATATATATATATATATATATATATATATATTGTATGTGCTATTTTTGAGGACTCAGATTGACCCTCCAAGGTCTCTGACTTCCATCAGTCAAGCCTCTTCTGTGTGCCTGGGGGGGAATTTGTCACCATTTGTCTCTTGGGTTTTACATCTGATGTTTGGTTCCAGGTGAAAAACACAAGTGGAAAAAAAAGTTTGAAGATAATCACCTCCACCTTCAGGCACCACTGACTCATCCAAGTTTATTGATAGTGAGGCCCCATGGGTCACCCCCTCTTAAACAGAAATAATGCCAAGCCTATGTCAAGAAGTTAATGGGATTAATAGTATCTGGGATGATGCAAATAAAATGCATTAGAGGATTCAATTTTAGGTGTTTGGTAAAGTGGTTTGAATGGGTTCATGCTCTGCATTGGATTTGGGAACCAGTGCTCCAAAGATCAAGATATAAAGTTCTAGCCTCACATTCTCCATGTTCAAAGCATCCACAAAACACTCTGTTCAGTGAAATGGAGACTGAAAAACAATACAAACAATCAATGAATTGAAAAGCTGGTCTTTGAAAAAATAAACAAGATATATGAACAAAAAAATTTTTAAAAAGAAACACAAAAATCAATGCAGTTAGAAATGAAAAAAGGTGAAATCACAAGGAACATTGTCAAAATTCAGAAATTAGCAACAAATTTATGTCATAAAATTGGAAAACTCCAAAGAAATGGAGATATTTCTAGATAATTTTGAATTACCAAAGCTAATCTAATAGTTAAAAATAATAATCCAGTAACAAGTAATGAAAGTTCTCCCGAAATAAAGGCAGCCCAGATAGAGAAAAAGCCAATCTTTGAATTTTCTTGCTTAAGGACAAAGTCCTCTCATACTATAAAACAGTGTTAAAGAAAAGACAGAAACAGATAGACTAGCATTTGGTTCTGAAAAGGTTGAAACCTAATGAGTCTGAAGCAGATTCGAGTGGGCTACAGACTCTCCCAGTGAGAGAAAGAACACCAGCGAGCCAGATTCTTGATGTTCTTATGGAAGGGGACCTTCTTCCAAATGTTAACCACCATCCATGTCTTCCTCTCTTCCTGCAAGTCAAAGATGTCAATTTGAATGGTGATTATGGTATGAAATTGTTGTTCCTAGTAAACTAGGCACATTTTATAACTTTTTGATGAATACACTACGACAATTATTTGTGTTCCTGGTAAATTACGTACATTGTACAAGCCTTTTTTTTTTTAATGAAGAGGTTAAGGGGTGCTTTGGGAAATTTGGAACACATTAAGCATATTTCCATTATTTCTTGAAAAAAATAGTGTTGACTTACAAACAACTTGAGTTACAACCAATCCTCCTGAAAGAAATGAGTTTGTAAGTCAAGCATTCACTGTATTTTCATATTTGCTCTGATGCATATGCTGCAAAAGTAGGGGGTCATGCAAAATGTTGGAATCAATGAATCAGAGCAGCGTTTAACATTATAACGGCATATATCTTTTTCCGCTGGTAAAATTGTAAATTTGTTTCCTACAGCTGAGAGAGGTAAAGAAGTTTTCCTTAGGCTTCAGGAGCAGAGAGATGAAAATTACTTGCTGGAAATGTCTGAAGTGTACTATTGTCTAAAGTAACAAA